TTACGAGTTTTTTTCTTGTAAGGAGCAGTTCTGGTTTCTTCTTGTTTTTGTGTAGATACTTTCTTTTTATCTTTTTTCCTTTTGTTTGTAGCAGTTATGTATTCTCCTTCTGAACGGTCAGGTTTCTGCAGTTCATAGTTATTGTTATCGATAATAACCATAGGAGAAGTTACCTCTTGTGCTGTTTCTTTGTTAGAAGTAGAATTGCTTGTTAGGTCTACATTTTGAGTTTCCAAATTTTCTCTTATATTTGAATTTTTAGTGTTTAGAATCGTATCCTCTGTTCTTTTTAATACACTACCATGAGTGTTATTATTTTTATTAGTTCTGAAAGTGTCTTGTTGCTCTTCTGTAGTAGAGTTTTTAGATTATTTATCTATGCACATTCCTTGAATTGAGGATGAAGAAGCTGATGTAGTTTCTTCAACCAATGGGTTAGAGATAAGTTCTGAGGTTTTTTCCTTGTTTTTATTTCTTTGATACTCCTTAAAATGACGACAGAGTGCTAAAGCTTCTTGATGTTGTTCGCAATCTCTTTTGATATGACCTTCTCTGTCACAGAAAAAGCAGACCTTTGAAGCTGATTTTCATTCTGTAGTGATTTTGTTTTTTAACAAAATGTAAAAACGAAAGATTCTTTTTTCTAGGTCTGGATCATTTGTAGTATCAAAAATAATAACCCATTGGTCAGTTAAATAAGGAGTTCCTTCTATTAAGAGTGGTTTGATCGAAGCAATTTTTCCCACATCTTCGAAGGCTTCTTTGATAGCTTCAGAGACTAAGTTTTTTTCTTGTAAAGGAACGTTTCTAATTTTGACTGGAAGGAAGGACCTTCTATTATCTGTAGGAATAGAGCCAAGATATGTTTTGTTAAAGATATCTACTCCTTTAACTACATACTCTTGTAATTTTTCTTGTTTGCAAAGATAATTTCTAAGTGGGTGCGAGCTCCTCTGTTAATATGTGGTTTTGCTGCTACTATATCACTCTCCACATTATCATAAAGAGATATCATAATATCATTTAAAGAGCAGTTTTTTAGGCTATTAATATCTAGTACTAAAGTATTATTATTTTTGGATCTAATGGTACTTCTCGGAAAATAAGAAGTAAAAGTAGATTGGCCCTTTTTAATTTTAGCAAACAGGCTAGACCAGGATTTTTTAGGGGTCCCTTGTAGACTCGAGGTGCTTGCAGATGTTTCTAAAAGAGATTCATTTGTTGATTTGATACGTGTATCTGTTGTTTTAGTCACGTTAGTATTATTTTGCATAATATCACGTGTTCCTTCATCTGTTATTTTGTTTTCATCATTCTTGTTTTTCTCTGTTTCTTGAGACATGTTAGTTTTTTCTTTTTCAAGTTCTTGACTTAGTTGTTTATCCCAGTTAGAGGAGTTAGTTAGTAGTTTTTTTGTTTAGAGTAGTTAATACTCGTATCTTTTTTGCTAATACTTGTAGTAGAGTATAGATTTTCTTTGTTACTATTACTCGTTTGCGAGCTATTATGAAGCATAATTTTTTTGTTTCTTATATTTTCTAGGCACCAAAGTTTACATTTCTTTGGAACTAAGGCTAAAGCCTGAGTTCTGTTAAAAAAAATAGTTTTAGTTTTTTTAGTATTAGATATTTTGTAAAAAGTTTTTACTCTCAGACCTAACTTTATGTGTTCAGGAGAGAGAGTGTGTAGATCTCTTTGAATGGGATTTTCTTTGTTTATATTTAGCAAAAAAGTATTTAGTTGATTTTTTTTCATATTTAATTCATTTCACTTTAGAGTGTAGCTGCCATTTTTCTGCTAGAGCAGTGAGTTCATCTTGCAGTTCGATATTAAGTTCATCTAGATAAGAGAATGAATTCTCTGTATTTGTTAGGCTCACAATTTTTTCACTTAGCTTTGTTATTTCATTATTTAGCTTTGCTATTTTGCTTTCTAGAGCTTTTGGTTTTCTAAAAGCCCTCATGATTGATTGTAAGTAGATCTTGCAAAAGTCCTAGTTATTAGAAGAGTTTGGTTCTTTAATTTCTTCCAACACTTCTTTCCTTAGCAACTTGTTATTAAACATAGAGTTATCAAAGCACCAGTTAAAGAATTGTCTTTGTTCACAATTAAAGCTGATAAGTTATTTAACCAGTAGATAGTCTGAGTTGCCAAAGTGTGTTGAGACTTTAGAGATTAGATATGAATGATTTTCATCAATAAAAATGTAGTCCAAACAGGTTGCTATCATGTTGCCACCCTGTATTTTCTGGTGAAATGTAAGAAATGGTTTAGTACTTGTAATTTTTGCTGAGTTTATAAAGTTATTAGTTAGTTCTAGAAGTTGATTTCTAGATGGATCTGGTTGAGCAGTTGTTTGACTGATTCTATTTGTTTCTGGGTTCAGGTTTGTGTTGAAATCCCCTGCTAATATATTGTAATAATATTTCTATTATTATTATATTTTATTATTTAGTTATATTTATTATTATATTTTATATTTTATTATTAATTTATAGTTATTAATTATCAATAAGAAAAACAACTCTTTCCAACGATCATCAAAACCAAAACAACAAAACAACAAAAATTTTTTTCTAATACTACTATCTAGTAAAACTACTTAAAGTAACTGACTACGTGAGGAATAAACTATGAGGCTGTGATAAGCCAGTAGCAAGAACTGCAACAAGTCAGTTTCAAAATTGCATTAGGCTCTTTGGCCGTCTGACTTTGGCAAGGTGACTTTAAGTTAGTTTAGTAGAAAGGTGTTGATGGTGAAAAGAAGAAGTATAAGAAAGACTCAAACTATGCTTGTGCTAGGTTAAGCATTTAACCACTCTCTCAGTTTTGTTTTTTTGAAGAACCACTTCCTTTATTTACAACAACTAGACTTTTGGACTTGGAATTGTTTCCCTTTGTT